CTGCGCCTAAGCATGGTGCCTGGCCTCAATGGTGTCATAGATGTTGCGATAGTCGCTGATCCGGTGGCATGTGGGGGAGGGGGGGGAGGTCATGCCTTGGGACTGTTGGAGCGGTCCTCATTGGGAGTAGCCATCATTTGGGATGGCCGGGAGAGCGCAGCGCGGCGTTGGGATGCCGAGCTCTTGGCCTGGTGCTCTAGGGAGACGCGTGGAGGAGCCGCTTCGCCTCGTTCAGTCGCTTGTTGGTCTTCGGGTTCGGCGTGTCGGAGATGTCTCCCAAGCGACGGCCACCATGTTGTACGCCGCGCGGGGGAAGCAGCGGCCGCTGGGAGCCCCCGTGTGGGCATCGTCGTCATCGCCAAGAGGGTGCGCGGCTTGCTGGCGCGCAAAATCTTGCCTTTGGCGCTCGAGCTCTGCCTCGGCAGCCTCCAAGTCCACCTACCGAGCTCGCCTTCTCCTGAAGGTAGGCCGTGCGGCTGTGGGGACTCTGGTCCGGCGGCGTGAGCCTAGGCGCCTCCTCAAGTAGAACCTCATCGTCGATGTGGTAGAACTTGCGTGGATGGGCGTGGTAGTCGATGTCATCGGAGTCATACTCCGAGTCATTCCCCGAAAGGATCTCGAGGAAGGCGCGCATCGATGGGACGTCAGTCCCCACCACGTCGGACAGGATGGTGCTTCACGGCACCTCACGGCTGATGAGGACGTCACCGCATTCTGGATCCCAAAAGACAGGTCTGGGAGGTAGTACCAGAAGCGGTCAGGCGGTGGGAGCACCTCACCGGTGGAGATCTGGTGGTGGACATTGGCCAGCATGTAGAACATCTGGTGGCGGTCCAACATGGTGGGGTTTGGGCCCAAACCACGCCGGATCTGTCGGGCCAGGACCTCGAGATCTGCTCTAGGAGTCCTGGCGGAGTGGGTGACGCCGGGGGCTTGGTGCCCGCTGGTGCAGCCATGTGGAGTGGATGAAGCTCACCGTAGTAGTCGGCGACGTAGGCCAAGCTCCCAAAGTTGAGAACCTGGCCCGGAGCAAAGGCGCTAGCCATGACGGTGAACTCACCGGGGAAGCGGACACCGCCGTCTAGGGCGGTGCCGCTTGCTCCGGCGACGAGGTGGGTGGCTCCAGCCACCGTAGAGCTAGAATCACACTTGACGCTGCCCCCTACCTGATGCCAGCGGTCACGGGGTCGGAACTGTGGCAAGCATGTTGTTCGAGTCGGTGTCAAAGTATGGGTCTCCAGTGGCTCGGGTGGACTTAAGGACACAAGAATCTCAGAGAGGATGCAACGATTTATCCTGGTTCAGGCCAATCGGTACCTTACGTCCAGTAGCTGATGATCCTTATACTCAAAAGCACTCAAAATCGGGGGTTACAACAGGGTTGTAGAGAGATTTGGTAGGGGGTTAGCTCGGTGCTAATCCAAGGTTGCCTCGTCATCGATAGAGCCTTCCCCTCATCGAAGAGGAGGAAGATGACAGGATGCGGTGGAGGAGCTCTCGATGCCCCTCCATGGGTTGCCTTGCTCTCAGTGCTGAGCAGAGGCCAAGGAATGGAATGGAATGATCTAAGTTCTAGTCCTCGTCTCCCCCACATAGGTCCGACCTTATCCCTTATATAACGAGATAGGTCGGGTACATGGCGGTTTGGGGGAACTAGTCTACGGTCTACATGCGCTGGAATCTAGGAAGGCCTTGCAGCGACGCATTGTGGACCATGGCGGTGTCGTGGAGCCGAAGAAGCCTTAGGTGTCGTCCGAGTGCTCTGCTCTGACACTTTGCGTGTCAGGCTGTGTCGGTTTGGACCGGCCTCCCCCTGGTAGACCTTCTGGATCTTCTTGGCGGTGAAGAAGGTCGGCTCCAGGGGCTGACACGCAGGCCCGAGAGCCACCGAGCCTCTGGAGGCCGCTGGAAAGCTTTGTCTTCTTGTGTCACGTCCCGTGCGTGACCTTGTCGAGAAAGTGGCCGACAATGCCATGCCCAAGGAGCTGCGCCGCGGAGCCCCCAAGCCTCGATAGCTCAGGACTTGTCTTCTTGTGCTCGGGTCTTGGCTGGCGTCATTTGCCGGGCAGGAGCCAAGGGGTGAACCAGCGTGTCAGCGTAGATCGGAAGTCTTGGGGCTCGGGCAAGCCCCCGAGCCCTAGGCGGAGGTCGCAGCGGAGTTAGGCTTAGCCGGGTTTCTTCTCAAAGGTGCGCGCAAGCGTACCAGTATAGCCCCGAAACATCGCGGTCAAGACGGGCGAAGCATCTTGTGCGGCGGTGACGCTGGTCATTGGCTCGACGGAGCTCGAGCGAAGCGAAAGGGTGAAAAGCAGGCCGGCGAGCATCTTGAGCTCGGCCATGGCGGATGGCCCACCTCACAGTCGCGCAAAAAAAAGATAGCAGCAATAGCTCCTCCAGGCAACGTTGTTGTTGGGCCGAGGCCCAGTGCATAAAGGGTTGTAGCGTCTGGGATGAACTGTGTACCATCCGATTTTACTGAACGGTTCAGATCACTGACTGCAGAGAAAAGTCATCCTCATCGACTGCAGAGGATCTGGTTCCCCAACTTGCCACAAGTGCACGTACAAACGAGCTTTTTTTATCACAGGAATATCATAGAAACGCACCCACACTAGAAGGCTTGTGATTAGCACATCCGACAGCTTGGAGAACCCGTCGTATTTCACCAGGATGAGGGCATCGCCCTTATGCTGCCAAGGGCCCCCATTCAGCACAAACTTCAACGTTTGCTCCGATCCAAACTCGACCAGGAAACGGATCTCACCTATGAGCCTTGCCTTGACGATCTCCTGCACGCCCCATGCCATGCTTGGCTTGAGTAATATAGAGCCATTGCCATCCTCCGCCATCGCCCCTACAGACGAGCCTTCATCTAGCTCAGGTTTGTACAATTAGTGGAGCGAACAATGATGCGACTAGAGTTTGTGACTACTTAGGCTTGGCTTCTAAGGTGTGCGACGTAAAGAGAAGGAAGGTTGCTAGTCCGCTGATGAGCTCCCAAAGTTGAACGGTAACGTAGGGAAACGGGCGTCCATCCACCTTGAACGCTCCGTTGGTGGGCCGCGACGTTAGCCCAACTACCCCTTCCTATCCATTCAGGAGTTTCTCAAAAAAAAAATCGGTCTTCCTGCCTCGCGGTCGCAGCCCTCTTCCCAGCGCGTCGCACCCTGCGTGCTACTCGCAGCGCCTCGCGGTCACCTGTAGCCCCGCTGGCCACCAACGCAGTTGTGCACCCCGCCGCCTCCTCACTGCTCTGACCCGACATCGTGCCGCCCTCCTCGCCCACCCGCCGCACCGCGCCACGCTTGCTCCCCCGCGCCTCGAACCGCCGCCTCCTTGAACTCGGGGTGGGAGCCGAGGACCGCCGGCTGCCCTTCTTCTGAGATCCATCCGTTGCCTCCTTGAACTCAATGTGGATGCCATCTTCTTCGCTCCTCACCCCGGACCGCTGCCTCCGGTGAACTTCACACGGCGACGAGCCTCCATTCTCCAAGTAGCAAGGAGATGTTACGCCGAAAGCGTATGTTGCAAGCGTATGTTTCGAGTGTTTCAAATGCTTCAGAGATATGTTGCAAGTCTTTCATACGGATGTTGTAAAAGTGGATCGAGATATTACATATGTTGCAATGGTTGTACACGTATGATGCAAGCTTTTGTTCCCAATGCCTCGGCAACACTTGCAACAACACGCGAAACGGCTGTAGGCTCGGACGTCCGGACGTCCCGTCCGTTCGGGCGCTAGCAAGCCCAAAAGTTTAAGAGATCATCTTTTTTTTCTAAAGAAAACAATAAATAATATCATAGTACTTCAATGCAGAAATACGATAACACTGTTACTCGTAATTTTCTACCTTTACCAATACAGTATTTACATTTACCCAATACGGTATTACAGTTACTGCTACGGTATTTACAGTTACCCGATACGGTATTACAGTTACCGCTACCGTTGTTTGTGTTAGAAGTGAAATGTAAATGAAATATGTTTGTGTTAGAAGTGAAATGTAAATGAAGTAATTAGAAGAACTGTTACTTTCATTAGGTATTACAGTTACCGCCACCGTTGTTTGTGTCAGAAGTGAAATGCAAATGAAGTAATTAAAAGAACCGTTACATTCATTGATGTCTAAAATATACTAGCGAGAGGGTAGGGTGTCACGAGGAGACACACCTATTCCCAAAAGACATACCCTTTAAGATTAAAACTATCTATGCGTGTTCGGCTGGCTGGTTGCTGACCAGCCAGCCACCTCACAGAATTATTGTTCATGTCCTGCCAGAACAGCATTTTCCTCTCACAACAATCAACTGGAACAATATTTTTCAGTCATGCCGAACAGGCCCCTAATCCTCAAATGGCATCGTTTCACAACATTTTGCCAAAAACACAATAAAACCTCAAAAACAAGCCGAGGCAATCGATATTTTTCAATTGCACTTTCATCCCTATTCGATAATATGTCAATGGTATTTTTTTCAAATCTTATGATATTTTAATGCTACAGAACCAAACCTCCCTTTTAAGTAAAAATCTATATAGAAGTCATAATATACTATGAGAATATATTCATCTTCCACTAAAAACATAATTCCCATTCAATTAATGTACCCTTGAAAAAGTGATTAGTTACCATACGCTTGGAATTAATCTGGTAGACTGGACAGCAAAGGCTCAAATCTCCACAGGTGTCCCAGTTCAGTCGGGGCTAGCTTCATCTAACATCTGCAGCCGCAATTTGTTCATTTACAGCCACAGTTTGTTCATTTAATGGCCCAACGATTTCAAGACATGCATCAACCACCCATTAACATTGCACACTCGGACCTTGTCCAAACAACAATGCAACTACAGAACTGCTGACGCTGCCCAGGGACAAGCTCTAGACCAGACCATGCTTAGGTACATCTCAAAATGAGCTATATACAAACTACAAACAAAATATAAAGTAGCAGATTCAACCCCATGTCCAAGGAACAAGGACCAGGGGTACTCAACACTGTCAACCACGAGGGGCAGCCATTTGCTGCTTCTTGATCCTATCCCCAGCCTTCACCATGCTGAGGAAAAGATAAGGAATGAGAAATTACAAAACAGAATAGAGCTCAAAACAACTGTGGTTATACTGATGTTATATTGACAAACCTGATATCATGAGGGGTTATAAATATCCATTGAGACCCTTGTTCAACAGCAAATTCTACTAGGGTGTCTAAGCTTATTTTGCGGCTCACCGCATCCTGCCAAATTCATATGGCACCAGTTACCAAGTTTGTTCTGTTATTAAATGGACAAAGATAATAGCAAAGGCCAGATGATTGCTCACCATGAATACATCAAACTCATCCATGGCCCGAAATGGTGCTTCTGTCATTCCATGAAGAGATAAGGTGAAGCAAAGGGTTGAGAAAGATCGCTCTCCACCTGGATAGAATGACAGCACAAACAGAAGTTACTAAAGTTATACAATCAGATAACACTAAACAAAGAACACATATTTCTTTACCAATGTTCTCAAGAAAAAACAAAACTTGTTTAATTAACTAGACTATTGGAAGCTGCAACTACCTGAAAGTCCTCTAGTGTCTCTAATGGTATCACGAGACGCATCTTGAGGCATTGTCAGCTACAGTAAACACCATAATCATTTTATTTAGAGTGGTCCAAAACCAAACATGTATGCATTTAGATAAAACATTAGAAAAAGGAAATCTTGTGAAAGTAACTCACCTCAACAGACAGAACTTCGTTCTTATAGTCTACATTGATGTGCCCACTGATACCTTTCTTTCCCAGGTGCTCATTGAACCTTTCATATGTGGAAAGGCAGCCAAGACTCAGGGATAATCATATTCCATAATTCATAGGAAGACCTGGAAGAAAATTTGGTGATGAGCATAGCAAGGAACTTACAGCCACGTAAGCTGACGCTTCAAAAGACCTGCATTTCTCTGGAACTTCTTCCATCGCAAGTCCAACGCCTTTTGACATGCCTACAGAGCAATAAATTGGCTAAAAACAGATCCATTTTGAGTGCATCACACATGAACTGGTATATCTAACACCATTATCGCTTTTCTTCTCAAATTGGCATGAGAGCTGCCAGTCATTATTATTACTTCAATACGCCTACAAATCAATACCATTGCACAAGTCATGCAGATTTGGCTTGCATATTGTATGTATCCACAACTAAAGATGAACAGTTGTTATCAAATCACAACCCTTACCTGTTGATGGGAAATATAAATCAAGCAAGCCTTTTAAAACCATGTGCATGTGCATCTAGAAAGAATGAAGATATCAGGAAAATTGCATGGAACTTACATTTAATTTGTCCCTAAAACCTGCATACATTTGTTGTTTTCTCAAGATCTTCTGTCCCTTTTTGTCATGCAGTGATCTCAGATCATCAATGGTTTCAGTATATCTGCACAAATATTTTTTAGGAGAAAGTATCAGAACTCATTGTTTATATATTATGGACATGCACAAACGATGGTCAGACCTTCTGCTTTCTTGTTGAAATTTCTGCTTTAATTTCGTAATACGAGCACTTAATTGTTCTATGGATCCATCAACACCCCCAAGAGCTTCCACTTCACTCTCAGCACAAATTGTTGAAGCCTTTTCAAAATACTCCTGCGAGAGAATATACAGTCAATACTGGACATTGTGAGTCAAATAAACCCCTCCATCCAACTGAAATTTGAAGCAAAGTGGTACGTAAGGCACAAGGAAAATTTGGTGGCTAGCAGCTCGAAATTCTTAACAGCTTTTCCAAGTGTCTTCCAATGTCTGTACTATGCATCTAAACTGAGCACATGACTCAGTTTAGACTCAGTGTGCTCAGTTTAGATGCATAGTACAGAGCACATGACTAGTACTCAAAAAAATAAACTGAGCACATGACTGTAATATAAATCTCTCTATTGTCTTTTACAAATGCAATATATAGTTGCTGCTTTTAGAACAGTATATTTCATGTACAACTGACCTATGCACTAAATAGATAATATGCATAATACAAAATCTCTAAGGAAGTTCTGTGTTCAAACACAAGGGTGCTAAATATCAACAACAACAACAACATATCCTTTCAGTCCCAAGCAAGTTGGGGTAGGCTAGAGTTGAAACCCACCAAGAGCCCCAAGTCACGGTTCAGGCACTTCAATAGCTGCTTTCCAAGTACTCCTATTCGAACATAGATCTCTAGGTATATCCCAAGCTTTCAAATATCTTTTTATTGCCTCCCCCCATGTCAATTTCGGTCTTCCTCTACCTCTCCTCATATTATTAGCTTGGCTTAGAACCCCACAATGCACTGGTGCCTGTGGAGGTCTCCTTTGGACATGGCCAAACCATCTCAACCGATGTTGGACAAGCTTTTCTTTTCAATTGGTGCTACCTCTAGGCGATCACGTATATCATCGTTCCGAACTCGGTCTATTCTTGTGTGACCGCAAATCCATCGCAACATACACATTTCTGCAACACTCAGTTGTTGAACATGTCGAATCTTTGTAGGCCAACATTCTGCTCCATACAACATAGCCGGTCTAATCGCCGTTTTATAACACTTGCCTTTTAGCTTTTGTGGTACCCTCTTGTCACAGAGAATGCCAGAAGCTTATCGCCACTTGATCCACCCTGCTTTGATTCTATGGCTAACGTCCGCATCAATATCTCCATCTCTCTGTAGCATCGATCTCAGATACCGAAAGGTATCCTTCTTAGGCACTACTTGACCTTCCAAACTCACATCTCCCTCCTCCTGTACAACTCCGCCAAAGTCGCATATCATGTATTCGGTTTTAGTTCTACTCAATCTAAAACCTTTAGACTCAAGGGTCTGCCGCTATAACTCTAGTTTCCTATTTACTCCCGCCTGACTTTCGTCCACTAACACTACATTATAAGCGAACAACATACACCAAGGGATATCCCCTTGTATGTTCCTGGTAACCTCATCCATTACCAAGGTAAAGAGATACGGGCTTAAAACTGACCCTTGATGAAGTCCAATTTTAATCGGAAAGTAATATGTGTTACCATCGTTTGTTCGAACACTAGTCACAACATTGTTGTACATGTCCTTGATGAGGGTCACGTACTTTGATGGAACTTTATGTTTGTCCAAAGACCACCACATAACATTTCTTCGTATCTTGTCATAAGCCTTCTCCAAGTCAATAAAAACCAAGTGGAGGTCATTCTTCTGCTCTCTAAACCGCTCCATAACCTGTCTTATTAAGAAGATTGCTTCTATGGTTGACCTTCCGGGCATGAAACCAAATTGGTTTGTTGATATCTGCGTCGTTCCTTGCAGGTGCTGCTCGATGACTCTCTCCCATAACTTCATAGTGTGGCTCATCAACTTAATTCCTCGATAATTAGTACAACTTTGGATATCTCCCTTGTTCTTGTAGATTGGTACCGATATGCTTCTTCTCCACTCCTCAGGCATCTTGTTCGATCGAAAGATATTGTTGAACATCTTGGTTAGCCATACTATAGCTAAATCCCCAAGACATCTCCACACCTTGATTGGGATACCATCAGGGCCCATCGCTTTGTCCCATTTTATCCTTTTCAAGGCTTCTCTGACCTCCGATTCTTGAATCCTCCGCACAAAGGGCCTGTTAGTGTCATCAAACGAGTAGTCCAGCTGAACGGTGGTGTTCTCGTTCTCACCAATGAACAATTTATCAAAATACTCTTGCCATCAATGTCTGATCTCATCCTCCTTCACCAAGAGCTGCTCCCTCTCATCCTTTATGCACTTGACTTGGTTGAAGTCCCCTGTCTTCTTATCGCGAGCCCTAGCCATCCTATAAATGTCCTTCTCTCCTTCCTTCGTACTCAAACGTCGGTAAAGGTCCTCATAGGCCCGCCCCTTTGCCTCACTCACCGCTCGTTTTGCAGTCTTCTTTGTCACCTTGTACTTCTCTATGTTGTTTGCACACCTGTCATGATACAAGCGCTTATAACACTCCTTCTTTTCTTTAATAGCCTTTTGCACATCTTCATTCCACCACCAAGTGTCTTTCGAGTCGCATCCGCTCCCTTTGGTCACTCCAAGCACCTCTAAAGCAACTTTCCAAACGCATGTTGCCATCTTCTCCCACATGTTGTTTGCATCGCCTTCATCATTCCAAGGGCCCTCTTCAATGACCTTTTCCTTAAAAGACCTTTGATGCCTCTTCTTTTAATTTCCACCACTTCGTTCTAGCAACCCTAGCTTGTTTGTTCCCACGAGCTTGCACCAGAAAGTGGAAGTCAGTCACCACCAGCTTGTGTTGAGCGACCACACATTCTCCAGGTATCACCTTACAATCCACGCATGTTCATTTATCCCTCCTTGTAAGGACAAAGTCGATTTGACTAGAGTACTGGCCGCTACTAAAGGTCACTAAATGGGACTGTCTCTTACTAAAGGGTGCTAAATATCAGAATGTATATATTTTGATGGTGAGACATGACTACACATAAAAAAGAGGGGGTTTGAACAAAGGATTATTGCCAGTAACAGAGCAATAACCTGATGAAGCTGTTGAAGACCTGTGAACTCTGATTCAGTTGTTCTAATAGGACCTAAAACCTTCGTTTCCATAACAACTTCATAGTGAGCCTTCTCCTGAAAAGGTTCAAAAATACAATGTAGTACCATGACCACAAGTGTCAAGAACAGTATGCCATGAAAGCCTACAAGGTGTCAGAACAGTAAGTAAAACCTGCTCAGCATCATGTATTTTTCCTTCAACAAGCTGCAAGTCATGCTCAGCATCGCTAATAGTCTCCATTTCAGCATGTGCAGACTCTGGAATAATGTTTTTAGCATTTAGTATATATTAAAGAATTTAGCACAGGGAAGCAGAGTGCAGAGATGTTTCTTTAAAAGCAGGATACAAGATTGAAGGAAGAATTAAATTTATTGAGTTGCATGCACCGACCAGTTAAACCCAAAAGCTTAAGTTGATGGGAGAAGTGGGCAATTCACTCATAGTTCAACACTCCCCCTCACGTGGAGGCTCCCTCAGCCCTCTGACGTGGAATAGGACTGAGCAACAATTATTTTATAGTATTATGCTAACCAGGATTCGAACTCAAGACTTTGATACCATATTGAGTTGCATGCACCAACTAGCTCAACCCAAAAGCTTAAGCTGATGGGGAGAGGTGGGCAATTCACTTATAGTTCAACAAGATCCCTGAATTTTTCACTCCAAAGTTTTGCCCAACTCTTATTCAGAACAAATTGTAGAAATAAAGCAAAAACAAGTTGGCAATCCAAATATTATGTTTTCTTTGCGGGTCAAAATAAAAACTGATGGAACAGATATACATTGGTGTTCAAACAAGTTTAAGAAAGATTAAAAAAAATAACTTGTTCTGCAATCTAAATATTAAATAGAATATTGTGTTTAGTGAAATAAACAAAGTGGAAAAACTGCAGTAAACAAATCGAAAAGGTCCAAAAGTTGTGCATGCATCATTTCATCTCTTGACAAAGACCTGTATCACACCAGTCCCATTGTAAAAATACATGTTATGGATAACAAGAGAATTTTTGAAATTGCAACTGGTGGCCCTGACAGAACAGGTTGGCTTAATTGGAGCACCCACACCACAACCTAAAATCATAATACAACACCCCTGGCTAGACTCTAAACATTTACATATGGCTTACAGTATTGTCTACAGAGCAAGGTTATGGGAGGAAATATTGTCCCCTTCTTCACAAACCATCCAGAAATATATATATTATTGTACTGTGAATGGTGTTCTACTCCTACAGCCAATGTAAAATCTACTGGTAAAAGAAGCGACACATAGAAATTTTCCTGAGACATAGGAAATGTATTTCACATAGTCAAATCTCTTCGCTTCCAAGTATATAGATCTTTTTCCAAATTTTATTGTTGCTTAAATTTGACCTCACTGGCAACAAACACAACAAACCCACCACCAACTATTCATAGCTTGAGGTTGTTACACATGGCTCTATTATGACAGTAAAGTATGACAAAGTTTGAAGAAGAGTTAAGTCAACATTAAAGGAAATAGATGTTACCAATAAAGTCCTGATAAGAAGCTCTTCTATTATTCTCTTCTTGCAAAGCATCTGTAAGTTTCAAATTAATTTTCTGTAGAGCTAATTCTTGGTTCCCAATGTTTTCCTTCACTTGCTGCAGAATTAAGTAAGACAGTAAACTGATGAGATGCTAGCGTAGATAATGATTGGTTGCAATGCAGTAAAGTGGCAATCGAGAACAAACCATCATTTCAGCTACTAGCTCAGAGGTATCCACAGCAGCAGCATGACTATTGTCAATAGAAATTTTCTTGGTGTCATCCAACTGCGCCTTTTTACGCTCCAGATTCAACTCCTCATTTTCTCTTTTTTTCTGTGGAACATGAGGGGTTGCTATCAGAAAACTTAAAGGAACCTGCACATCAATTTGAATTTTACCTTTAAACGTCTTAATTCCAAATCGATGCTTTCTCGATCAGCAACTAATTTCCTTTTGCGATCCAACCTCTCTGAGTTTATTTGCCTAATTTCAGTAGCTTCCTGCTCCATTTCAGTTATTTTTTCTTCTAGAGAAGTGCACAAACGACCAGCTCTCCAGTTCCCACTTGGAGGAAGAGTGGTCTGAACAGGACCTCTACAAAACCTGCAATCAATTGAAACAGATTTAAGAACTCAACATTTCTTTAAGGATACTTTAGAACAGTAAATGACTTTTGAAGGTTGCCAATTTGTATCCTAGACTTCCAATGTCCACAATATCACCACTTCCACAGCCAAACTTAATGCAACTTATAACAACGAAAGTTAATCACGTGAACATCTGAGAGACCAATGATCTCGATAAAGGTGTTCATCGACACAGTGATGTTTATGTAAGGGGTCAAAAGAAATCATATTATAGCATTTTAGACTTCTCACCATACTCACAAGGGAAAAAAAAAGTCAGCCAGTTGGAGTTGATCTCTCTTAAAACCTCAACAGGCGGAAAACTACCAAGTGAATGTTTAGATGGTAAATTACACAAATGGAAGCGAGTAATCTGAAAAAAAAATTCTACACACATACGTTTCTTAACAAAAACTAGATAAATGCCAGAGTGGAGAAGAGCGTGACCAAAACATGATCCAAATAACAAAAAAAAACAGTGCCAATGAGACATACATTTTGCAACCATCAGAAGCATATACTTCCTTCAGATTTCGTATCCTCTGATCAAATGCAACAGATTTTCCAGTTTTATAATCTTGAACTAGGACCTGTCTCTCTGCATGGCCCTGAAATAGTGACTTTTTTAGGAACGTCTAAAAACTATTATTAAAACTGAAGCATGTGAGCCCAAAGAAAAAAAGGAACGGTGATTGACATCTATAAATAAACAAATTTGTTTAGTGTACATGACGCATTACCTGATCCACTAATACATTTAGTATAGTAGGATTTTCCGAATGGATAACTGAAAGTACTGTCGGGTGTGGTGTTGAAGGAAGCAAATGATCTGGAATGTCAATCCTATTCAAAGATGGAATAAGAATTCATCTGAGACAACCAAAGATGAACAAAAAAAACACCTTATCGTCTTACCGTGGTTTAGCGAAGTCATATATAATAATTTGAAGGTTGTGGTAGTTCACTTCTTTCGCACATTCTCGTAAAAGTAGTGAATCCTTATGACATGAGACAATGAAAGCATCTAATAACTTCCCAAGTGCATAATCAATTGCAACGGACCAGGAATCGCTTGCCAGTTGCTGCATCAAAGCAAACAAAGCAAGGTAGTGAAACCTGTAGTGAACAGGTATAGTAATCAAAAGAGACAAGACAACAACCAAAGATAGTTATGGCATACCACATGATGTCCTATTGGACCAACAGGAGGGCATTTGAATCTATTCTTGTGTTTCTCTACTGATTTATAGAGTCTCAGAACTCTATCTCCTCCGAAGGCGGTTACCTGCAAAGGAGCATCACTAGTTGCTACAATTAATTTATACAACCAAATAGCTGCTACTGAAAAAGTAAAAAAAAAACAGAGCATTATCATAGTAGAAATATTTAATGCTTAATGAAGCATCGGATATTACTTTATCATGTTGGCGTCGTCGTAGATCATCAATTTGACATTTCAGTTGATTGAACCTACGTCCATCTTCTTCTATCTGCAAAGTGCATGCAACAGAATATACAGTACAATACCACAAGGATCCAAGACAAAGAGGCCGAAAGCATAAACATAGTAACGCAGCCAAAATTGCATGCGGTGCAGATAATTGTGACTACTCAAATTATTCCCCTAAACCAAAACAATGTTGCTCACTAGGGAGGAGTTATACTTTTGGGGTTTGGCCAGGGCTAGGGGCATCTCATTTTTCCTTGTCCTTGGCCCGCACAGCAGTCGGTAGGAGTCCTCTTTTCCCCTTGGTTAGGTCAAGGTTGTTCAATGCTTTTTTTTTTGGTTGTTCAATGTTTTCAAGAGTGTGCATGTTATCAAACACCAAATTGTGTACACGTGAGTGTGTTTGTCAAGGCTCTTGCCCCTTTTTTCTGCTTAATAACACTCCTTCCATCTTATTTCTGATAAGTGCATAAGGGTATAAAAAAGTTTCTGAAATCAATTGTCCCATAGGAGATGCAGGATTGCAGGCGCCCATTGTGCCTCAAGCAAGACGGATGATGCTTTGATTTTGCTCAGAGATTGAATGCACTGTGACCCAACCACTCCATCTGCCCTGGGGTCCAAGCTGAATAAATCCCAAGTCGTTGAGTAGCATGGATCACTCAGAACATTACCATGCGGGAGTTGGCAAGCCCAGAGCAACAGTTTTGAGACGCGTGATGATGGCCAAGCGTGCTGGGCACTGAAGCCACGATGCGCCGTACTGCAATGCCAATTAGTAATCTCCTTGGTCTCAGTGTCCAGAGCTTAGGCATCAACTAAAAGCAGATGGAGTATAATGATATACAACTCTCCATGGGAAAAAAAATATATGGTGCAGATAGTTGTGACTATTCAAATCATTCTCTGATTGATGGTTTGACATATTTACCTCTATATGCCATTGATGGTTACATATTTACCTCTATATGCCATATTGCCGTATCGTTTTCAGCTTAAACGAGATTTGACTTAGGTCTCGGTTCTCTTTTATATTGCCATCAAGTATTATGGTTGCTTTCTAAACCTTTTTTTTCAAACACGCAGGAGAGTTGTGTATCATCATTATATTAAGAAGAGTCTAGACGACTCATAGAACCCCTTAAAAGGGCATGAGCAGCTTTCTAAACCTCAATAGCTATTTTTTAATCAACTTAGAACCCTAAAGCTCCAATTGTGGATCACTTCACTCCTTTAACGCTTTTTTTCCTCAAGCTAGCAGAACTATGTATCATTATATTAAAGAAGAACTACAAGGGTAAGGACCCTTACAACACACACCAAAGAACAACGGGCATTGTCCGTTGGCAACAGAGACACATCAATGTCACTGTTAGGTTGGCTAGTATGCTTCCTGAGATGGTGCTCAAGATGACAAAGTTGTGCAGAAAGCTGGTTTTCTTGTGGTACATTTGAGAACCATAAAAAAACTGCAATGAATAAGCCACTCTTGGTAGACCTAGTTTGGAAGGCAAAAAATTATAAATACCTCTTTTCCGATGTCACCAATGTTTTTAATAATGCCCTGTAGTTCTTCAGATAATTTCCTTCCTTCCTCATTTAACCTGGATGACACAAAGCAGAATCAAACATCCAATAAGCAAACCTGGTGTCACCTAAAGCAAAAGTAATTAGGAGGAAAAACTACCTTGTAGCATTTAATTGGGCAGAGTTTATCTCTTGCTGTAATTCCCGTATGCTATCCTCAACTTGAGATACTTCAGCCTTCGATTTCATATAGAAAGGATTCAAATGAGATAGAATTATGGGAAGTTCCAAAAGAAAAGTGAAGGTTCCAAAGCCAAATGAATATCAAAAGAAACCAAAAGGGATGTAACACATTAGTGCTGACTGCTGGAGTATATCAAATCAAATATTAATAAAAGACTAAAAATTCAAAATCCCAATAAGGGGTATATGCCAGCATAGGATATACAGCTGTGGTTCAGGCCCACCAACCAAGCATATTACATCCAATAATGAATATCTTGGGAATGTAACTGACAGATCCCACCTAATCCAGGACCTGGATAAGTATGTCCAGGGTTTCCTAATCAGCACTAGAGCAGGGGCAACACAAACCAGAAGGTAGAGCCTTGGCTAACAAGGAGAAAACTCCTATCGAGTGAAGACACGGACTAGCACCTGATCTTTCAGTGGGTCGTTTGTCTGGATGGTGGAGAAAAGTTATCAGAGCTGTACCAAAGGAAGCGCTAAGGGCTTCAACTCCTTAATAATCTTACTCTGTTCGCTTGATCGTTTCTGTGGCTTATCATGGCTGATACGATCAAGCGAACAGGTCCCTTGGTGGCATGGGAGATCTGGAAGCACCGCATTGATTGCGTGTTCGAGAATTCGAGGCCAAGTCTTCAGGTGGTGCTGAGGGCTGTGAGCATGGAGGGTGGCCTCTGGTGTTCAGCAGGGGCTTCAAAGCTCCAAGAGCTCATGCCCAGGTTGCTGGCCCTTGGTGCTTAGGCCCTTTGGTCGCTGGTCGTTTTTCTTGTTCTTTGTGGCGAGTATCTAGATTAGTTCATGAGGTGTGGTGTGTGTGTGTGTTTGCTCTTTGTACTCGGGTTTGGGTCCTTCTGGACTCGTGTACTGTTTTTTTCTACCTTAATGAAATGACGTGCAGCTCTCCTGCGTAGTTCATGAAAAAAATATATTATTAGAGATATGTGTTATATAGTCTAACACATATTACAGGAGGAGACCTTCAAGGGACAAGGAATTCTGAATCGAACTCAAGACCTAACCTTGCTGAGATCACCATCCCGATCTCACCGAGATCGTAGTCTAGCAGCATCAAGCCCAGACCCTTGTAACTAAGTATAGACATCTACACTGTAACCAGTTCATCAATAATGAAGAAAAAGAACAAATGACATAGGGCTATTATACTTCAGGAGGCCTGAACCTGTATTCATCATGTGTCTCATGTTTGGGTATTGGACTACGATACCTTAATCCCAAAGGTAACCCATTTACTATAAATACTATTTATAATATCTAAATCATCAACAAGTCTGGGCTGGAGAGGTTCCCGCGTCATCCAAAAGGGCGCCTCAGGTGGCACCCCAAATCCGCGGCCGCCGCCGCTCCCCCGTTCTCCTCTCCCTGCTTCCTCCGTCGCCGGAAGCCTGGCAGACTGCGAGAACGCGAGAACGCCGGAGTAGACGGCCGGAAGCCTGGCAGACTGCGAGAACGCCGGCAGAGGGGCCATCTCTCCCCGTAGTGGCCTATTCATTTGATTTCGTGGAGCTTCACAAGTGGCTATGGTGGTGAGCGGATCTGGCGCAGGCCTGGTTGGGGAAGCGACATGGGGAGGCTCTGCTCTCTTGTGTCGCCCGGCGGGCGACTCCTCCGCTGCCCCACGGTAGGGCAGGGCTAGATCCTCCCTCTCCCTTGCTGCCAGCAACTAAGGCCACTGGTTCAGTTTATGAGGAAAATTGATATAAATCAAATTGTGATTCAGAGGATCCTATGAATAAGGGGATCTCTCCAAGGCAAATCCAAGCACAAATCAATTGGAGGTGCACTCAAATCCATTTCATCTGGCTGTTGCATCACTCTTATGCCTCCCTCCCTCGGGTCATTGACAGCCCATCGCTTCTCTCCCTCCAGGATAATATCCCCTCCGCTCTTCTACCCAATCTCATTGCAGCAGCAGAAGAAGCAGCAGCAGAAAGAGATACAGATCTTAATTAGCTGCAACTCAATGAAGTATACTGGCAAGATGGTAAGTCAAAGACTAGTCTCTTCACTCTTGGCAGCTTGACTCCATTAACAACTTAATAACCATAATATCAAGCTTGTATCTATGTGCAATGGCAGAGCATGATACGAAATCAAGGTGGGGCCAACACAACCGGCGGGCAAGTGTAGGATGTCAACTGATCAATGCGTAGGAGGTAACAGCCAGTGGACGCAAGCATGAGAATATGTGAGGACTAACGTGAGGTTGAAGATGGTATGGACCATGTTGGATTAATGAGCTGCCTCAGCTTGCTACTCGCCGATGACAAGCTTTGGCAGGCTTCTTGAATGCAGAGCCTTCCAATGAATGCTTCCTTAACTAAGATGGTGTCACAACCATTCGGCCATTGATGCCTAATGCGCTAACGCAGTAATTAGAGCTTAGGGTCCTTTGATTTTATACTGAGTTGAAAAGGCTTTAGGCCACATAGGCCGCTGTGTCCTGATGTATTGTTTGATTGTTCTCTTCTGGCACTAGCATGTTGGTGCTTTGTGCTCCTTGAATATGTGACTGAAATAGAGGGAAATTCATTTCCCTTAACTACTTCATCTTCCCCGGATTGGACCTGCTCTTCACTGTCCAGTAATCCTGCTAGTTCTAGCCACAAATCCATCCAGGAACTTTGAGTACCTGCCATATCATCTCATGCAGCATTACCTGGTGCTAAGGAGTCGTTTTGCATCAAGAGGAGTGGGAGGTTTTGGCCTTAATTATGCTCCGCCAGGGCCTATGTGCATGCATTTACCACCTTCAGCGCCATTACACCATGCAGCTGGATGCCTGCATTGATGGCCACACCTTGACAATGTTGCTCAACCCAAGTCCATGCAGAACTTCATCACCAACTACACAAAATGAGATAAACTTAGGTGTGGCCACCTGCCATGTCACCAATGGCAATCATGTGGCTGTAGCAGCAATGTCTAACTGCCCATACACATCCGAGCTATTTTGCACCAACTTCTATGTGCCCCTCTTGGGCCTTGGCAGCTTAAACCTCATCACTATTGTCTATCAGTTAACGAATTTGAGGCATCTTCTCATTTAACTGTTGCTATATACTAGTTTGCATGGGTGCCTAGCCATGAGCTGTCTGTAACTGAGTACAGTGAGTTGTCTCAGGAAATCATGGAATATAATATGTACAATTAAAAAAAAGGGCGTACCCGGTGCAAAGAGCTCCCGCTCTGTGCGGGGTCTGGGGAAGGGTGTCAGTGGCAAGCCTTACCCTCGCTTGTGCAATGCGAGGAGACCGCGACTCGAACCCGGGACCTTCCGGTCACAAGCGGTTAGACTCTACCGCTTGCACCAGGCCCGCCCTTCAATATAATATGTACAATTATGAAAAAAAAATATTCCATAAGAAATTGATCGACACAAAAGAGACATGATATCTGGGCGCAGGCACCCTTGATCTTGTAAGTTAATTGTTTATGGAATGTGTGATGCACCATCCTTAGTTCGAATTTTCAATAAAGAAACAATTTGTGTAAGATATGGGTGCATGTGCACTTTAACTTTTTTCAAGATATAAGGCCAAGATGTGAACCAAGACAATCAACGTCATGTGTGGCTTGATCTATTAATGGACGATTGTGCACAACTCAAAGAGTTGATTAATTCCATACCCAACTACAACCAATCATGTTGGCAACTAGCTGTTTTACTTTTCTAAAAGAAAAGTGTCAAATACACTGGTGGTCCTCAAACTTGTCCTAAGGTGCCAAGGTCCATGAACTTGCATATTGGCATATTGCACAAGCGCATCCCTAAACTTGCTATGTCACCTAGGTCCATGAACTTGCAGACTTTAGAAGCGCGTCCCTCATCTTACTAAATGGTCCCATCTAGGTCTAAAGTGTTAGACATATGAGCAATTATTGGTTTATTTTAATTCAATTTAGATATACTACATTGAACAGCAGTGTCCACTTGCATAACTATCACAACTATAACCAATGAAGAAGTGGATCACTTTTTATGGACTCGCTCAGAATGATCTTCATGGCCTATTAGAAATAGCAGGTGCTCTGGTGTAATCCCTACCAACAGAAAAGGATTATCATCAGTGCTTGGCAAATTTTGACCCTTTTTTCATGCGGAGGGGTTCTCAAACCCTTTTTTCATGGAAGTTTTTATCATCAGTGCTTGGCAAATTTGGAAGCAAAGAAACAACTTCATTTTTAGTTGAGGCCAGCCATCCTTCCTTGCTTGGAAAACAGGTTTCATCGACGAAGCTCGCCTACAAGCTCACAGGATCTCTGAAAACAAGCGCTCTCCCTTCCTTTCTTGGATAGATTTGTGTACATAGTTTGGTCCAGCCTGCCTCAGGCTACCTGTTTCCTTCTTTGCTGCTGTTTTTTTGTTCTATCTCTTTTGTACAGTTGGTTCTTTTTGGTTTAATAAATTACTAACAGTGGGGGCTTCCCCTGCTGTTGTTCTTTCAAAAAAAGAAAAGAAAAGGATTACAATCGGGTTGGTAAATCGATAGTCATACTTTCAATAATGGACAAATTCAACATGGGCTAATTCTTGCACTACTAGTCCCACTCAGGTATACATCTCTATGTTAGAGATGTCTTTTTCCAAAATTAGATTAAAAACAAACACATAGTTTCTCATATGTCTAACAATTTGGACCTGTATGACACTATTTAGTAAGATCAGGGATGCACTTATACATTCTGCAAGTTCATGGACCTAGATGACACAGATTAGCATGTTTAGGGTTGCACTTGTGCAATCTGCAAGTTCATGGACCTAGATGGCACCCAACAAATTTAAGGACCGCCAGTGTATTTTACTCAAAAGAAAAATAAATTTAGCAGAAAAAGATTCACCTGAGTTTGTTGCATATGCTGCAGCTCAAATTCATGAACTTGCTCCTCTAGCTGTCTCAAACGGGCATTCATTTTATTCAATACTTGTCTTCCACGAGCATGCTCTTTCTCAAGATCCATCTTCAGTTTCACAGCCTGCAACGGAACATAAATATTAAGAAGACAGCTAACAAAGTAATGGCACAATCATATCTAGTACCTAATAGGAATAGATAGAATTTCAAAATTTCAGGAAATTTGTCACACAAATAAGACAATTTTCACATAATTTGCAACATGTAATTCTAATTTACTTCAATGTGTAACCTATTGAATTTCTTAAATGATACATTTATCATAGAAGATGTGGATGCTCATATAAGCACATTCAGATGGCAAAAGTAAGGAGGCAAGTGATTGCCTGCAAGTGATAGATGTGAACAGTATCATATGACTAGTGGTAAAACGTGGCAACTATCCATGACCTAAAGGTAAAGCTTAGATCATAATTGACACCAAAATGAGAAGTATAATCAGTAAACTGAAACATGTGAAGTATGGGTACTTGCAGTGTTGTGCAATTTCATATTCATATATAAGGCCATGAACATGCATACAATAAACATCTATTATGAAAACCACATGCAATAGCACCAAGGTTGTTATTTACGATTCATGATGTGTTTTAAGTAATTGTTGTAAAACATCAGAAACAATGTATACAGCAATACTGAAAGCTACTTAAGCCAACAACATACCTCGTGAATGTCATGATCCATTTTTTCCCTCATCCTCCTTGCTTCCTGTGTCTTCTCCAAAAAAGATCTAAAATTTTCTTTCTTCACAATAAATTCTTTCCTCAGTTCCTCTATAATGGCCTACAAGATAAGGAAAAATCAACTCAGTTAACAACCCATTTCAACATTCCAGATCTGGCACACCTGTATTAATTTAGCACACAAACTTTGCAACATGACTGCAACATCCTCAGGGAGTAGGGAAAATTGTAACATAAACTACTGGAAGGAATGAAACTTGAACCATGGCAACTCCATTTCTACAGGTTAGTTTGTAAATGAATAAATGATGACTTCAAACTGCCATGAAATAACCAACTGCAAATGTTTTGAACAAATTCAGAAGATCAATGTTCTTAGCCAATACGAACTTTGGTATTATACCCTCCATTGCACATTTACAATATAGAAGCTCTACTTAGCTTACCAAAATTTCTACATAGCTTTGATTGAAGTCCACTCCATTCATTATTACAAATATCATACATGACCATACAAATGTATTAAAGAAGTGTCCTTTAATTCATCCTTTGATCTAACAAAACTATGAGTACAATACAAGCAAACAAATTAGCAGTCTATTATGAATTTATATTTGGTAAAATGATGACTGACAAACATGAAGTTCTTCCAGCATTACTGGTACACAACTAGAGACTGAGTAAGGTTAGGTAGTTAGATAACAAAAAAAAAAATCACAACATACATAGAACAGGACTGCTCTAAGAAAAATGAGACAGAATTGTTCCCATTAAAGTATCACTTACTGTATTTCGATCAATTCGTTCTTGGCATGCAGGGATGCGCTCTTTGAGTTTTTCAAGCGTCTCTTCTTGTCCCCCAATCTTTTTATCAACATCATAAACCCATGCCCAAGCCAACTTTTTCTTCAAGTTTTCAATCTCGTGTGCTATTTCTTCAATATGTTCCATATTCTTTATCTTCTCCTGAATTTCATCAAGTTCTCTGAGCGCTGGCCTAATTGACGCTTCCAGTTCTTCAACTATAGAGTCCGCAATGTACAGGTTGTCTCTTATTGTAGCAAGCAAGTCATTCACTTGTTGAAGAAGCGTAGCCTTGAAAAAGAACTGAAGCAAAACAGAAATGTATGAACAGTAAAAACCTAGAATGAGGCCAGTTATCAGTTATATTAGGAAAGCATACAGAATGCACAGGGTGCAGCACACTTTTAAACTCAACTTAATGACTGAAGCATAATTGCTCAAGTTTATCTAAAATGGTATGGTATATACTGAAATCTGGCCTATCAATAAGTTGAACATTATCTTATTCATGAAACAGCAATCAGCAAATAATTCAGCAAGAATGAAAATATACAATGTCCAGGCCACTGCGAGGCACATGAATTTGCATTCGGCAATAATAGACCACTGAAAGGCACATGAGTAAGGCATAGATGTTCCATTGCATAGTTAAAAATTGCACAAAGAGTGGTGTGAAACTAAAAATTTTGATTACCTTGAACTTGTCCTTGTCATTTCCTGAATGTAAAAACTCTCTGCTTTTGTCTTGACTCATAATTACACAAGGGTTTTCAACTTCAATCTGAAAAGTCACACAGATGCATCACAATGCGGACAACATATATCTGGTAATCACATTACAAATAAGTACTCTAACAGAAAGGTATAAAGATGAAAACAATTAGATATCTATAGAATGAACTCCTGATGATGTACCAACTTTTTCACCACAAGCATCCATAAATATACACTATGCTTTCAAGAAACTAGAAATGGTCTTATACTCTTATATTATCAACATCAAGGCATGCAGAGCTCCTACATTGCTGACTGAATTTGCTCCCGTACCATGTTGGATGTGTGTATTGTATAGCAAAACTTCACCATGTGCCTTACGCATTCAAGAGAGTGTGGCAATTATTAACTTCATTAACAATCATACGATCATATTTTGCCTATTTTGAAGCAGTACCCCACAGAAAAACAAATAATGAAGAGGCAACCAACTACCAAGCGAGTCAAAATGACAAGGGTGTTCTAAGAAACAAGCAACTTACGTTAAAATGTTCAATTATTTCATTTAGGTCATCCTTGCGATGCGCCACCTTCCTCCCTGTTCCAATACATGCAGACATTAACAGTTGATATAACATAAGAATTCATGGGGAAATCTAAAAGAGCTGATAAAAAATAAAGCTATTCTCTTAGTCCTGTTTGGCAAATTTACCACAATTATCAATTGGTTAATTCATACTTACTGCGATTTCAAATGTCAGCCCGTAATTCTGGTCAAAAGCCATTCTCACATCCAAGACATACAGTGTTTCATTTCTTGTTTAATAGAATTTTAGCTATATATGATGGAAATGAAGGGTAACACATAAAAACTGGGTGCTCTGAGTATAATTAAATGATGGGAGGGCAGAATGTCTGCGATTTAAAAGCACATAGTACGAAGCCAACAATTTACGAGCATGTGAATTTTTTGCCTACTTGGAAGTGGGTCATGATACTTCTCACAAGAAAGGTAGTGGCAACTAAGAAAGGGAGAAATGCAACAGTCTATAATATTTTAAAGGGGCATTTGCATGTTGCCACAACTTATAAGGCTAATTACCAAAATGTTTGAACCACTGCCCCAACTTTGATTAAAATTTTGGAAACAGCAAGGCCTGCGGTGCAAAGTGCAAGAAAAGGAGGGAACTCAATACCATGAGAAGCCTCTATTGTAAAACAACCTTACAAGTGAAAAAGTGACTAAACAAAGGCAGCAGTATAATTAATAATATCAAAAACTACAATAATGTTAAAGCAAATAGCACGGACTATTAGAATGAAAACACGGCCAACAATTGACAACTTGGTGCCAGCAACTTCACACAAGAAACACTACTTGCAATTGAAGAACACGACCAACAATCAGGGAGGCTAGAACAAGTAGTTTTACCATGTTGATCCTTCAAAACTGTAGAACTGGTTGATTCAGTAATCCTGCGTTCCAATATAATAGTGTTCCCATATACTTCAGGCTTAAACGCATCTTCCCCATGGTTATTAATACCTACAGTAATTGCTGCATAGCTGGAGTGGTAGAGAAGATGAAAAAATTAGACCAGGTTACAGCTGGTTCCAAAAGGAGACACGAAACCTTAAGTGAAGGTTGTACGGTGAAGAATATGTGTGGCAGATTAATTATCCACTCTATGCATGAAAACTGTCAAGAAAATTTCTTTATGCTTTTTAAAAATACAATATATTGTAAAGGCCTTGAGCTTGAGGAGCATATTGGGAATATACTAGGTGTACGTGTGTGGCACAATATTTGCAGTTCTCCATAACCATAACTCATCTGTATCAATTAGCCACATTGACAGACAACAGTCAAATAGCTCAACGCAGTAACAGAAGTCCACAAAGGTCGTTAGCCCTAAAACTGATTTAACTCTTTCTTTAGAAAATCATTAACTAAAAATTAAATTTTCAGGTCTAAAAGAAGAAGAAGGGGAGGAAAGAGAGAAGGCGAACGCAACCTGCAGCCGGTCTTGATGAAGTCCTTGAGGGAGGCGGCGCGCTGGGTGTTCTTAGCGCGGCAGCCGAAGGCGACGCAGAGGGCGGTGAGGATGGCGCTCTTCCCGCCTGCGCCGCCGCGTCGTAGGAGAAGAGAAGGCATCATTCGTCAGGAGGCACCGCGAGAAATGGGGTGAGGGACGGGGGGTTAGGGTTTGGGAGGCGTACTTCCGTTCTGGCCGGTGATGAAATTGACGTGCTGGTCGAGCTCGATGTGGAGGCTGGAGTGGCACATGAAGTTCTCCAGCCGGATGCGGGAGATCGTCCCCGCCGCCATCGCCGGCGACCACGCGACGCTTCTTCTCTCTCGTCGGTGGAAGCTTGAACCCGAAAAAGGATGAGTAGTGGGGGATTTTGCGGGGGGTTTGTTTGGGGGCAGCGTGTGCTTTTCGCTGGGAAGAAGCCCCCCAGAAGGCCAGAACCCCCCAAAATAGCCGCGGGCCGCGGGGAAGATGGGCTTGTGAAAAACTTAAAACAAATATTATTTCTTTGCATAAGAAACTTTGTTTTTTCTTCGTAAAAAAAGAAAACTTTGTTTCTCTTATTATTATTAGTTTTTTATAACACTCTTGTTATTAGTTGAAATATTTCTTCCATTATCTGCCACTTCTATCGAGGACCGCTGTGAAAAGTAGGGTATGCAACGTAATGCACTCCCTCTATTTCGAATTCTAACAAGTTTTGACTTTTCTAAATATATTATTATGTATATCTAAGCATATTGTATATCTAAATACGTAACAAAATATACGTATCTAGAAAAAAAAATAAAACATCTTAGAATGAAAAGGAGTACATGCATGGATACTTAAAATATGCTTAAGGTGAAAGAATAAATAAACATCTATGTAAGAGCCTTTAACTTAAATGGTAGTTTTGTTCAGTATTGCTTAGAGAGCTAAGCATCTATTTAAGCCTCAAAAGCTACGAGGTAGACCTAGCAATGGATCCAAATCCAATTAAGAAGAAACCAAGAAAAATCCAAATATGTGAAGTCAATGTACAGTTTAATCTAACTTCAACGAGAACTAATCCAATCCATTCCATTCAGTCAAAGTCCAAGGTATCCATGGACAAATAACATTAACAAAATATTGGTGTTCTTCCTTTTGATATTATGCCTAGCACCTCCACGACACGGACGGCGAACCCTAAGGTAGGTGGCCTTGACCATGGGGAATGACATTGCCCGCGGGCGACGGTCATTAGGTTGTTGAGCACACCGCAGCAAACCCTAAGGTAGGTGGCCAGCGTTATGCTTAGCAGCAACCCATTCAGCAATGGGCTCCCTGTGTTGAGGCACAGGTTTGTCGTCCCGTTACCACCGACACTTCTCACGATGCCACCTTAGCATCACCGTGATCCGCTTCACCGGTCTGCTCGCCATCAACTTGTCCTACAATGAGAACCTCCACTTCGTGGACGTGTCGTCGACCTCCTCACGGGGATCCTCGAGCAAGAATGAGGAGTCCAAGATGACGCCCCTGGTGGCGTTGAACGGTCTATCCATGTCCGTCATCGATAGCCACGCTGATATGCAACACCCATCCTTGTTCTCCCAAAACCAGGCGCTAGCCGTAAGCATTGTGCGGCGACGTGCTTGACAAGACGTGCGGCGACGCAAAGGCCAGCCTCATGTCTGGCGCTGCCATGGCCGCCCTTGCCACCGCGGTGGTTGTCGGCATGGTCGTCTTCCTTGTGCGGAAGGCGTTGTTCTTGAATCTTGAGTGCAGCGCAGACGACTAGGCAAGCAATACTTTGTCCATCTTAGTCCAATGAATTTCGGATTACATCAATCGGAGTCCAATTATTCAACTTTAGTTTTGGACCTTTTTTTAAAGAGCAACAATAGCATTGCCGCAGATATTATTAGAAGAAAAAGATTGACCTAATTTTTAAGGTGAAATCGGATTCGAAAACTGAACAAGCATTCGGCTAAAACAAGTCGACAAGACCCGTTACTAGAGGAACACTCCACGCTACGAAAAAACTAGTTTTGGACCTCATCTGAATGCACATTCTAAGTCCAAACAGATCCGGTCCAAAAAATCAACGAATAAAATATCCAATTGGACATTGAATGGTCTAAAGTCTAGTTTTTATTATTTTTACATTTTTTATTTTTTATTTTTAACTCTACAAAGTGCGTAGAAGCCCCGTCCACGTCGCCCCAAATCTTCCCGGCCATTAGATCTCGCATTGGATGGCCTAGATTTCTTGAAGCTGATTCCCGCGAAGGCGGCTTCTTGTGCTTCTTGTGGGCTTCTCCTCTGCTTCTCCTTCCTCGAGTCCGAATCCGGATAACCAAATATATACTGCGGCTCCTGCTTCTCTTTCCAGATTCTTCTTCTGCCCTTCCCTTGTCTCTCTATCGGTCTCTCTCTCCCTCTCCATCCCGACACGGACAGGACGACGACGACCGGCGCGGCGGCTGCGGCCACTCTCCTCGTCCTCCTCCTCCGTCCTCCCTCACCTACCTCTCACCTCCGTTTCTCCCTCCCCTTCCCTCCCGAGGTGGTGGTGGGCGCGAGGCGGCGACGGCGTCCCTGCGGGCGCCTCACCGGCACGGGAGGGCTTGGTGTCCCCCTCTCTCCCCCATCCTCCGTGCGGGCTCCTCAACGCCTCTTCCCACTGGGGAGCTTGTGCTCCTCTGCTCGACGAAACCCTAGGTTTGTGTGCGCCGACGGAGATTGTCTTTCTCGCCGGCGGTGGCCGAGCTTAGCGGCTGGATGTGCCGGTAATTGACCCTATTCTCCTCCTCTGTCGATCTGATTTTTTTGTCTACCCCACGTCCGAGGCACTCTGCAAGGATCCTGGTATTTAGAGCAGTAAGCAACGTCCGTGTCTCGTGTGCCTCGTGCATTTGGATTGATTTTTTGAGCTAGCAACCAATTCTGATCTAGGTGCCTTGGTTCAGCTGCACAGGTTCATGCCAAAAATATTTCATTGATTTAATATATGCATGAAATCTATACAGTACATTTTGCTTGTTTAAAAATAATGTGTAGACGCATGTGCATGACCAAACCTAGGTAATAGATTGTCCTTGTGTTCAATGCTTCCTTGATATGTTTAAAATCCTATTTGTTCTTTCTCAATACTTATATTATAGATGCAAAATAAACAACAGTTTTTAACTGCTCAGGGGGGACACCGGCATGAGCAGCTTCAGATCAACAAGGAGCGACACTGATTCCGTATGCTTTGTTGCTCTACTTCAGCTTCCCTTTTCTATTCCCATATTTTTTGCCTCTTTGGTTCCACGAACACACATGTAGATGAGCATCATGCTCAATTGCTGATGACAACCATAGCGGTTTGGAAGTCCTCACTGAACAAAAAAGTTCTCTGCTAGCAACTACTACGGATGCGTTTGTTTGCCTGGACCAGCTGGGCCAGTGCACCCATGGGCTGCAACCGGGGGTGTTTGTTTGCCAGGCCTCCCTCCCCAGCCCACCCCGCACGACCATCAAAGCAACCCCTGCCATTTTGGCCTCCCACCGGTTGGCCCCCGCGGGCTCGCGCGGGAGTGGTGAAATCTCCGCGCGCGGCGCCGCTAGGGTTTTGGCCTCCATTTATCCCCCCTCCCTCCCTGCGGCGCTCTCACTCGCTCTCTCCGCCTCCTTCCTCGCTCCGCCTGGTGGTGTCGGCGCGGTCGTAGACGCTCCCAGGCCTTAGGGTTTGGGAGTTCTCCCGCCGCCGTCGTTGTGGTGGAGGTGGTGCTGGTGGTGTGGCTGCTACGTCTCCGGCTCTAGTCCGCCGCCTCCTCCTTCTTCTTCGCCAGGTGGTGGTGGCCGATGTCGCGCGGGATCCCTCTTCTTCCACATCTCTAGTTCTTCTTCCTCCTCTCCGGCTCGTGTGCGGTGGTGTTTGTTTGCCTGGACCTCTCCGCCTCGCCTCTTCTTCCTGTCCCTCCTCGTCGCTCGTAGCAAGGTGATATCCCTTTTGGGACCTTACCTCGCGTGGATCTCGTTTACTGTAGAGCTGGATGATCCAAATCTTGAGATTTGAGGTGGCTGTGTGCAAATCCTTGGCTACCGAGGTGCAAATGTTATGGATCTGGTGATTTAAAGTAGTCTGCTGGTACTTTTGTGGTCGATTTGCTATGATTTATGCGGTTCTTGGTCGGCTAGGGTTTACTGTTCATTCATTCATGTTGATACAGTGTACATGTGATGCTTTGCAGTGTTTATACTAGTCGATGATGCTATTTTATGTCCATGTTTATATGAATGCGGTCCAATTTGAGGCTAGCAATGGCATGCCTGATGACTAAAACCTGTCTCTAATAACTAAATGTAGATGGATCCAGCTAGCCAATGCTCTACCATGGCTAGTCAGGCTGCAGCAATGGTTGTGGTCATGGTGGCTTTTCTATTTTCTAGAGTTAAGAGACTGAGGGGTAAGGATAAACCCATAGTGTATGGTCCTAGGGCTGTAGCAGATGAGCATAGGAGGAAGAACTTGGACTTGATTTAGAACTCCACTAATAAGGAGTGCATTGTCATGTTAAGGATGAGTAGGGCCCCTTTCTTTGCTCTCTGTAATCTATTTAGGCAGAGGGGTCTTGTGCTTGACAGTATAAATGCAAGTGTTGAGGAACAAGTTTCAATGTTCCTCCATGTAGTTGGACACAACCAAAGGTTTAGGGTGGTCCACCAGAGTTTTAGAAGGTCCATAGAGACTGTCCACCGCCATTTCCACCAAGTGTTGTATGCTGTTGGGGAGCTTAGGAGTGAGATGATCAAGCCACCTGGCCTTGAGACCCACCCTAAGATTTTTAGGAGCCACAAATGGAACCCATATTTCAATGTACTAAACCTTTTTTTTGCCTTTAGTCAATGTAAACAATCTAAGTCACATACACCTAATTTGTTCTAATGAAATATTCTTTAGGACTGCATTGGGGCTATTGATGGCACCCATGTGTTGGCTAGGGTGCCTAGACACATGCAGGCTGCCTTCAGGGGTAGGAAGAGTAATCCAACTCAAAATATAATGGCTGCTGTGGACTTGGACTTGAAATTCACCTATGTCTTGGCTAGTTGGGAGGGATCAACACATGATGCTTTGATCCTGGCTGATGCTATTGAGAGATAGGATGGGTTGAGTGTACCAGAAGGTAACTAAATTGTCAATAGCATGTGTTATTGTTGTGTTATTAGAGCAATCACAAACTAATTACAGTCCCTGTTGATGTTGTAGGCAAGTTCTACCTAGTTGTTGCAGGCTATGCATGCCGCCCTAGGTTCATGCCACCTTACAGAGGTGTGCGCT